GTGGCTCTTCCCTTCTTCTAAAACGAGAGGTGAGGAGAAAACAAGCCCTTTCCTCATACAAGAGGCTGGATTCGTGAGGTTAGTAATGAAACGGCAGCCTCCAATGTGCAGAGCGTGTATCATGCTGGCCTTTTGAGTTTCCTCAGAAGGACTTCGATCTTCAAGTCTCCTGAGAGACTTCCCTCTGGCACGCAGAGGAAAGATAAGGAGGGGATGTCAGAGAAATGCTCAGGACAATCACACAATTGTCCTACTTGTCAGTTTGTGATGAATTTATCCTGCATCCCAAAAGCCGTTGTCTTTGTTGATATTTGGCTGATTGCTTAGAGCAAGGCCATTCAATAAAACTACAGTAAGAGGCCAAGTGGCCACATATGCCTATGTGATTTAAAATGTTCTAGTAGTTACATTAAAAGAAGACAAAGGGACAGGTGAAATTGATTTTTATAATGTACTAAAGTTATTACCATATACCAGTATAAATATTACCTCACATGCAATCAATATAAAAATTATTCATGACCTATTTTCTTTCTTTCTTTTTTTTTTGGGGGGGGTTGTTCCAAGTCAATGAAACCCAGTGTGTGTTGTGCACTTCTAGCAAATCTCCAGTGCTGTGTAGCCAAAGTGACTGGGATACACTCACCAGCAGGCAGTTTCCCATAATGAAATACGGGGCTTTTCACGCTGACCGCCCTCCCATCATGGGCTATATTGAAGATATCAAACCATTACAATTTACAGCTTAAACAACTAGGGCATTTGTTGATTAATGAAGAAACATTAATTTGAGGAAATATATGTATTTTTTCATAACTATCATGGGCATTGATTACTGAAAACAAGAAAAATAACGACTTTCTTCTTCTCTCTCTGTAAAATGGAATTAATACTGCCATATATATATATATATACCAACCAAAACAAATAGGTGACATAGTTCTGTTAGATAGTTTAATGATACTTACTACATTGTCTAATCCCCTAATAATTCTGTGATGTAGATATTATTATTCACGTGGTGTCCAGGAGGATAATGAGCTTTGGACAGGTCAGATCCTCTGCTGTTCACAGAGTGAGGAGTGGACGTGCTAAGACTGAGCCCAGGGCTGCCGCCCTGCCAGCCTCTGCTTGACCCACCAATTGGCCTTCCCACAGATCTGTTCTTACAGCTTTGTGACCAAGACCAGGCAATAGCTAATGGCTAATAATTCATAAATATACATAATTGTTCAGAAATAATGTAATGACAGTTTGGGCATCATAACTAATGACCATTTGGGAAAATACATATTCCTAGTGTATTTCCATCTTTATTTTTTGCCCCCGTGACAACAAAATTTACTATTTATCTCTCTTGCCAGAATGACTCTTGGTTTTCAGCAAAAGACTGGTGCCATGTGACTGTCCCTTAGACTAAACTGCCTGCTTACCTCCTGCGATTGTAAAAGGCTTAGCAAGGCTTATAATTGAAAGGTTCAAAGTTCTGTACTTGATCATCTGGAGATGGGTTTGTGCTGTAATAAAAGAAAAAATGCCCCAAGCTCTAGATACAAGACTAAAATCAGAGGCTTTTTTCTTTTTCCCCTTCTTTTTATTCTTCTTGATCACATCTAAGTTTTGCCACAATATATTTTCTTTTTATATTGCTATTCTTTTATTGGGACACATTGAAACTTCTTCCCCCGTTTAATTTATTTTCTAAACATGCTCGTTATCTTTCCATTGATTGCCAGTTTTTCTCTCTTTGTGGCTGGGGAAGTGATAGGAGTGAATGGTTGACTCTCCCTTCTTGTCTATATTTCTACTCATCCTCCGAGAGGTTGCCTCGCCAATGGATCCCTGTCTTTAAAGACTTTTAAAACTGAGCTCTTCATTTTCTGCTTCACTCTCAACCTCAAGTTTCCTAGTTTTCATTTCTCATGAAATTGTCACTGGAGATTGAATATCTTTTTTCCTGCTTTTGTAAAAATTGCATTGCATTATTAAAAACTACAGTCATTTAGATCAAATTTGTAAACTTTGCTCAGTGTCCAAAGTAACCTGTTATATTCTTCAGTGTCTTCTTTTTATGTGCTTTATAGAAAGTAGCATTATCCTACCCTACTGCTTATTGTTCTTTTATTCTATAAATGACCTCAAAGTTCTCTTTTTAAAATTTATCATTAAGTAGGGAATGACTGTGAGAGGGGGGTGGTTGCTTTTTGATTATGTGGCATTATTGATATCGTGTCAAGTAACAATTTCTATCTTCTAGCACTGAACTAACATGTTTTGGAAATGTTTCTGTAACTGAGAGTTTAAAACGTAAGCCCCTACGTGTTCTAGACCCCTGTACTTTTATGTTGCATTTTAATGTTAGATTCATTGAACTTTTCAGATTTTTACAAAATTAATAGGATCTTAAGTGTTTTTTTCTCAACGGGTCATAGACTTGGGAAAGATTTGCAGCTCCTGAAAGGAGTCCTGGTGGCATAGTGGGTTATACATTGGGTTGTTAACCACAAGGTCAGTAGTTCAAACCCACCCTGGTGCTCCATGCAACAGAAAGGAGACTTTCTGTTTCTGTAAATATTTAGAGCCTTGGAAACTATGGAGCTTCTGTGTTCTTTGGGGCCTCTATGAGTCAGAATTGATTCGATGACTGTGAGTTTGGTTTTTGAGTTTTAAGTAATAAACACAGGGTAGCTTACATAGCAAGTGGATTCATTCATGAGGCTTATCTGCCATTCCCAGATGTGTGACACTCCAGTGCTAACATTAGGAACCACACATGCGTTTTCACACCAGCATTAGTGACGACGCTGTATACACCACCACTAACTACACTCAGCATGCATGTGCTTCAATCCTAAGGCTAGAAATCAACTTGGTTCCCTGGACCAAGGTCACATACTAGTATGTAAGAGTTAAACGGTCTAGATGGGACTTAGTCTCTGCTAGTGAGGAATTGATGGGTGGGTCCTATCAAATGCCATAAGGTTTGCTCAGGAAGATTGCATACCACCTAGACTGCAGTGAGGGCAGAAACTGTAACTGACTTGTTTTTGCTTCTATCCTTGAAGTCAGCGATGGTGCCTGGCACTCAGTAGGTGTTTGGTGACTAATTGCCAAATAAGTGATGATGACTGATATACTTTAGAGGAAGTTATTTTATCGTATGTCTTATTTATGACATCCCTATACTCATTTAGGAATCAATTGAGTATATGTACATAAGCATTTGATATGCTAGTGATGGTCACAATTGAAAAAAAAAGTTATAAAGCATCATGTGAACAAGCTCAAATTTCATCTTTGTTGAGAAACATTGGCCTGTGCTACTCATATCTTCTCCCCACCCCCCATCAATCTGTACCATGGAGAGTGCCTCTGGTACAGGCAATACGACTGCTTTGTTGTTCTCAAGAATGTAGTCAATAGTTGTCCTTGGTATGGTGTGACTTGTTAGATTGTTGTGCAGTCTTAATAATAATTACCATGAACTTTAATGATAGCAATGCTTAATGAGTATTATCATTGCTAATAATGATTATATTTAATAATTACACCCAATACTTATTGTCTTTAATAATAATAATTAGCACATGGGAACCAGTTGTACCATTGTATTATCTTTAGAACAAAAATCTAAATCTGTGACCTGGTAGTTCTCAGAGTCTGCTCTCACCCTCTGCTTTCCAGAGCAGAGTGAGTCAGGAGCTTCTAGGGTCTGGGCTACAGGGAGGGGCTCTAGCAACGCACTGTCATGCATGCAGTGTTTCCGAGGTGGCAGGGACCCGGCCTGTCATTTTGCACAGAGGTAGTAGTTCTGTTGTGAAGTGCTTTCACCATGACCGGCTAACCTGCCACCTCCCCACCTCGCTGCCTGCGCACCCACCCTCCGCATCGATACTTTTTTCTTTTGGTATGGCACATAAAGTGAAGACCTCAAGCAGGTCCTTATTCAATAGCAGGCTTATTTTTGTGAGTTATGGAGGGCAGAGTCCGTGTTTATTACTTAGGTGTTGGTAAAACTTTGATCTTCTGTCTTGGCTATGTTTAGATCGAAATACCTGTAGGATTATTTTAAAAACTTAAAAGAATTATATATAAGCCAGTTTAAAACATCTCCAGCAAATTAAACATTTTTTTATAGCTTTTTCACACTTTGATACAAAGCAGAGAAATATTTCAGTGACAACAGATTTCAACAGATTTCCAACTAGTCTAGTTTGCTTTATTCTTTAAGATAGTTTACTTCTTTTCTCTGAAAACAAAAGAGGAAACTGGTGTTAACATATAAGATGATACGTAGAAAAAAGTAAGTTTCCTATTTAGATGTGCATGTTGATATAAGTTAAATTTAAGTTAAGATGGTCAGTAGCAGGAGATTTTTTTCAGGTTAACTGATGACATAGTTACCAGGACTAGAAAAGAAAAATAAAGGCAGATAGAAGGGACTTTGTTAAGATTCTTGCTGACCTCCTTGTATTTATTGTCATAAGAGCCTAGGCCCGGAAAGCAAGCCTGCTTCCCTAGGAGGAACCTTTTCACTGGGAGTTTGTAAGATACATTTCCAGATCGATTACAGACAAACCGATTTGATCTGCAAATATGAGAGTTAGTACATGACAACATGTACATGATAACACTGTAGCCACCAAGAGTACGAGGTCGCGTGAGGTCACCTGCCCTCTCCCATGCATCAGCTATGAACTTGAGGTCTCTCAGACCAGATACCTCTGGTTGGTGCATTCTACTTTAAGGACTGGGCTCAGAGGGCTTCTGCCACTGCCCAGGGCCCTCCTGCTGCAGCCTGATCATAATAATTGGGGTGTAGGGTGTATGGGGGGTGACGTGCAGCTTTCCATTAGGCCCATAGGACTAAAGGCTTGTTTAATCTAAGCCACTGTCGATCACAGATGAGTGACTTTTATAATTGTCTCTTCCTTTCTCATCCTGGTGTTTGAGATTCGCTTTGTCATGCTGGTGTTCTGTCTCGCATTCTGCCCCTCCAGGTTTGATGATTCCCGTCTTCTGTGTGGTGGAGCAGTTGGACAGCTCTCTAGAATATGACAACAGAGAAGAGCATGCCGAGTTTGTCCTGGTTCGGAAGGACGTGCTTTTCAGCCAGCTGGTGGAGACGGCGCTCCTGGCCCTGGGGTATTCCCACAGCTCCGCCGCTCAGGCTCAAGGTACTCGTGCATCCTGGGCTTCGCCCTTTGCCTCTTGTGTGCACCATACGGGGAAGGGCATGGCATGGCATGTTCCCTGAACTCATTCTCTTAGCAGGTGTCGAAGGACAGTTCCCTGTGTCTTGCAGAGTCTTGCCCTGTTGCTTTGGGAAGCATTTGACCAGCACGGCCCCAGGCCATGTGCATTGCACGTGCTTGCTTGTCATTCATAACCCTCGGTCGGTTGTTCCAGTCCGTACATGGAAGTCCTCAGAGCCAACGTTGGGGCGCTGAGTACCCTCCAATATCCAAGCCATCATACATGATTTATATGAATTCACTTTCTAAAATACATTTATCGTTTTCGATCTGTGACAGATGTACTTAATCTTCAGCTTTTAATTAAAATGCCGGGGGTGGGGGCGCGGGTAAAAGAAGGATTTAATTTACCCTTTTGTATCTTTGAAAACTATTCTGTAGATTTGATGTGGTACACCCATTTAAAAAAAAAATCACAGTGTCATTGTGATCAATCCTTTTACCTTTTAATTCAATATTAAAATTGTATCATTATTCTGGCATGTATAGTATAATTCCGGGGGAGCCCACTGTAGGTCTGTCTTGCTTCATTCTAGAGGATAGGCTATTGTTCTTTCATCCCAAAGAAAGAACAGAACAAAAGCAAATGAAGAATCACAATAACAACAAAAACTCCAAACCTTGAAGAATGGGAAAGTATTTTTTTGACCCTATGGCATGATTATACGTGTGTTTCAGCTGAAGTGATTAAATTTCATAGTGTATGATTATAGTTCTAGCAAAGGAGAGAAATATGTAACATCCAGTTTCTTTTTAAATGTACTAACTTCCTCCATTATTATCTTTACTTACGTTTGTGCATGTGCCAAGGATTTTGGCTATCCTTTCTCATGAGTCCATCTTTTCCCCATTTATTCCGATAAGGAAACCACGCGCTATTAAACAATTTCAAAGTTATTCAAAGTTGTAACTACAGTGACAGAGGACATGGGATTGAAGTTCCCAAACTCTTGACTCTGGTTCTTGAGGTAGAATGTTGTTTTATTTATTTTTAAAATGCTTTAATTAAGTAGTTAACATTTTTATCTGATTTCTACCGGCAAAGCAACCCATTTGCAACCAGGGGTCAGGGATGTTTTCCCGGGGCAGGTGGTGCCCCACTGATGGTTCTGTGCAGTCTGAAAGCAGACGCTTGGCCGGTCTGGGTATAGTACTGTAGCTGGGACCCTGGAGTCCTCCGCTTTCAGAACAGGGCGATAAAGGATGATTCATTTCCTTTCTGAAGCGACTTTCCTTCTTGTGCGAGGGATTCAGGATGTGATCCTGAGCAAATTGCACCCTGGGCACCACTGCTTTTGTGCAAAGCTGTGCGGCTAAATGAAATGAAAAAAGCCCCTCTCTCTTTCCCCCATAAACTTTTCATGCCATTTTAGGGATATTTTCTCTGAAGTAAAGGTCATTGTATCCCACTGCTTGCATCCTGGTGTGCCAGCTTCCTATTTGACAGGGCTATCCATCTCAGTTAGCATGGCTGTTCAATGCGTCCTGAGCTAACATGTGGAACACAGAGCACTAAGTGGCCAAGATTTGATTCTTGGCACACGCTGAGAGAAGGAAATTTGCGTTAGGGAGTCTCACTGTTTCACCCAGCGATGTGGACCGAGAGTCTACTCACCAACGTGAGCGCCGCTCACAGGGAGTCAAGTCCACAGTGCAGGGTCGGACGGGGGACGCGGAAAGCAAACTGTTTTCTCAGAGGTTTTGAAAACTACTGTTAAAAAAAGACTCAATATTTTACTTGGAAAAAAAACAGAAGCTGGGTCCCTGTTCTGAAGATGCTCTAGGTTACATTTTGCACTTTATTTTGTCATGTACTTAATTTTGTCAGTAAGCAAATACTTTAGCATCACGTTCTGGCGCTGTAATCTCACTGAGGGGGGAAATGTTGGTTGATTTTGTTTTAAATCGGATTGCTGACCTCTGTTTTGGGTAAATGGGAAAACTTTTGGTTGGCTCCTTGGACATGGTTGACTTAGATTAAAAAAGAGAAAAAATCCAGATCATTTAGAGGCTTCAGTTTGCTGCATATTTATTACAAGCCTGGCAGGCTGCACGAGGAGAGGTCATTCATGTGCTGGCTAAACTGCAGAGCAGAGAAGCCGATAGAACATAATATGGCTGCGTATTTGAGGCCTGAGGTCGTTACCTGTGCACGTTTTTGTTTTCTTTGGGTTCTGTTTGCTCATTTCCTTAGGGTTTAGGTTATTTCCCCACCATAGGGGACTTCCTGGGAGATCCATTTACAGCAGAAAGGCTGCAGTCTTTCTGAATCTCTGTCTTAGGCTGGGAAGGTTGGGCAGCGCTAGATAGCTGGGGTGGGGGTAGGGGGCAGCAGGTTGTGTGAGCCTATTTTAAAAATTGAGGTCTGGAAACCTGTTCAGAGTTTGAATAATTAAATTCAATTGGAAGCGTGCCTTGCATTGCCTGTGAAAGAGCAGGTATGTTTGCAGTGCCCGCATCCCTAGGCGTGCTCAGAACCCAAAGACAGGAGACAGGGAATCTGTGTCCTTCCAGGGGAGCTGAAGATCTTTAATTAAGTAAGCATATTTGTTTAGAAAGGATGATAGTAATTCCATTGAAACAAGAGTCCAGGGATAACTGCCCCACCTCGCCCACACTTTGTAGACTGTCGCTTCTTTATTTGAAGGGCAGATATTGAGGCCCAGAAGGTAATATGAGCACGGAGTCTGGAGTAAGTCCTGAGCACTGTGTTTCCAGTGTCTCTGAATGCTCTATGCGCCAGCACACGAAGCAATCTCTGTGCTTCTCCAGGACGTGGGATCTGAGAGGCAGGAGTCATCTGACCTGTTGTTTTGCTTATGCCAAACAACAAAACACGCCAGGAAGATGCTTTGCTTTGCCCAGAACAGGTAGCCTACCAGTCTAGTCCCTGAATCCGAAGTCTGCTAGTCTTTTCCAAGAGGAGTATGATCCAGAGGGCTGCTACTGGACGGTGGTCAGAACGCCTCCCACCCCAACTCATCCCGCCCTTCGTTGGGCTTCTCTTTTGACCCTTGGAGCTCCTGGTCTTACCCGTCTGCCTCCTCATACTGTCTAGAGAGCGCTTCAGCTCACCGGTAAAGTTAGTCTCTGTTTGCCAGCACCCACAGTAGGCTTTGTCAGTGGAGCAATGGCCAGGTGATTCTGCTCTGCGCACACTTGGCTTCATTTCACAGTGGGCTCTCTGTCTCTCCCCAGCTTCCTCTAACTTAAAACTGAAGTTTAGGATTTATTTTGACTAGGAAAACAAGCTGACCAATAAATAAGCAAAAATATTTTCTGGCTGGGTATTTTAGGGATTATGGGTATAAAGAGTGTGGGTACACGAGGAGATATATTATTCACTATTATTTCTTATCTTTGTTGGAAAAAAAATCACACTCATGAAGTAGTTTCAAAGGATACCTTTAAAAAGTGGGACAGATCTTGGTACTTAATACAATGTTGCATAAATAAATTGGATGCCAAGCGCAATAATATTGAACCACATGTAGATGCATAGAAGAAAAAGGAGATGTATTAAGATGCCAGCAAAGTGGGTGGTGGGGGTGGTGGGATTATGTAGGATTTTCTTTCTTTCTTTCAATAATTAGAAAGAAGCAAAAAAAGAAAAGAAAGAAAGAAGCATGTAAATATGAAATTTAGTTCCTGCCTGGATTCTTGTTTGAATAAGTAGAAAGTTGTTATTTCTACCAAGCTCCTTAATTTTAAAAAGCAGTTCATTTGGACTTTAGTTTATCCATCGAGCTTGCAAATTCTACAAATGTGCTTTGTTGTTTTTCAGTGTCAGATTTTATAAAATCAGCAAGTCATTAATGAGTACTGATCATGCATAAAAGAAGTGCTGTGGGAGAAATGTGACTTACCGCAAGGTCAGCGGTTCAGAGCTCACCAGCGGGTGGCTCACCTGGAGAGACAGGGCCCTCACCACAGCTTTGTCCTAAGCCAAACCTGCTTGCCAGGGTGTTTAGAGTCATTTCTCATTCCAAAGCTTCCTCTTTATCATTTTTTTGAGAGGGGGGTGGCCCGAGGTGTGGTAGAGGGGCTAAATTTTATAAAGCCTTTACGTAGAAAAGATTCTGCTGTGCACTTTTATATATATCAGGCCATTAAACCTTTACAACTCTTCATGTGTCACTAGAGTGGAATACCATTTTAACAATAGATACACCGGGCCACAATGAGGCTGGCTAATTTGTTCCAGGCTAGAGTTAGCAAGCTGTGGTGTGTGGTACCAGATTTTGGACCCCAAGGATGTAAAACAGATGCACGCATGTCACTTGTTGAGAGTGTGCCCAGCTGTACATGCACTGTTTGTGCTTTACTTTTGGACCTAAGCTCTTGTTAAATTGAGTGCTTACTAAATGTAATTTGGTAATAATTATATGTACTTGGGAATGGTAATATTGCATACACCTATAGTTCATTTCCAGGATGAAATATATTGAGGTACTTTTTCAAGATAACACACACAAACTTCTAAATAAAGCAATTAAAAAAAATCCCAACCTTAAAAAGGTTTGTATTGAAACCAACTCCTAAACCAGAGGACTTCTAGTAGGGTGTGTAATTCAGATATGCGATTATAGTTTATCAATGAGAAATGATCCCTGATATGCAAAAGCATCATATTCCTATTTAATTCTGACCACCAGAATTATTTGTGGATTCAGTGTATTGAATAATGCCATGTGTTAGGCATTATTCTGAGTTACGGAGATAAAATCCTAAGGAAAAAAAAAAGTAAAAAGATATTTGCTTACAGTTATATTTTATGGCTTAGTTATGTATAAAAGTTTGGTCTGTGAAATTGCTAACCTCAGAAATATTGAATGCCACACATAAAGTTTGTTTTTAAGTTCGGTGCTAATATTAATTAAATACCCTATTTTTCCTGGGAAATTTTTAAGAAATTGCACTTT